TGTGTATGGGGTAGAGTTACCATCTTATGTTAGATCATAAAATCTTCAACTCTTCCTTCCTAAATAAAAAAGAAAATAAAAGAGAATCGGGGTTGAAGTCTTTGATTTGTGGTTGTAGTTCTATGCTCAATGTGAGATTTGTGATTTTGACAGGTGATAGGGTGAAGTATGTTGGTCCTTTACAGTCAGGCATTTCTCCCTTGCAAACACCATTGAGGTAACTGCTAGAATTTGGTTAACATTTTCTTCATCCTAGATGTTTGTTCAATAATTCCCTTCCCTTTTATGCTCCATTCATAACCGGGTTGGAAATGCACTTTCAATTGGGATTCTATAGGATCCTCCCCCTCCCTCAAAATTGTGGGGTGCATACATGCGTGTGTGTATGTCTCTGCTGCTTTTAGCATTCTATATGCGGTGTTGCTATTAGCTTTCTGGTGAATTTTGACAGGGGTAGCCTATAAACAGTGACTGCTACCAATGAACTTCAGAACTTAGTGAATTAAATGGTTAAGTATGCATAGAAAAATTAATCATAGTTGTCTCTCTAATTATAAATAAGTTAATAATATCTAGACTAGTTTTTTGTACAAAAAACTAGTCTAGTTAATAATATCTAAATAAGTTAATAATATCTATCAACTTCCCAGAGGCAGAGGCTCCAGCTAACTGCTCTAGACTAGTTTTTCGTACTAAGACTTAACCAAGTTTTCTATTGTAACCTTTTGCATCCTCTTGATAATGCAATACCTTACTTCATCGGAAAAAATAAAATTCATGGAACATAATGCCGGTCATATCGAATACTCCCTTTATGTTGGCACACTTACTCTTTTAGTTTGTCCCAAAAAGGATGATATATTTCTATATTTAGAAATAATTCAACCTAAAATTTCCAGTTTATCCTTGCTGAGATAGTTTATAGCTATACAAATGTCTATACTTGTTTCATACCATACGTTTCAAAAATCTTTATTTTTAACTCCGTGGCTAGTCAAACAAAGCCACATAAAATGGCAAAGAAGGAGTAATTAATACTTTTGAAAAAGATTAATAATTAATAACATCAGGGGTTCAAACCTTGTTGTAGACAAAAGCATGGTATTTTAGTGGAGAAGCGCAGGGCTGTTATCCACCGAGATTCGAACCATGTGCCATTAGCCTCTCTTGGGATTTCTCGGTTTTGAAAAAAATAATAAATAATTTTTGAAAGGTCCACTATAGGAGTAGTATTTGTTTTATCTAAGAAATGTTGAAAGTGTTTTTGCATTACATATACACTATTGTCAAATACTTTAGGAAAATTTAAGTGTAATTTGTCTTAATATATTGTTGTTACTACGTAATCATTCAAAACCTCTTCATAAAAAAAGAGTTATCATTCAAAACCTTTTGATATTTCCCGGTGACTAGTCCTTTTCTTTGCAAACATGAAAATAATATTGACTATGGACTTCCAAAATATTAAGTTACTCCTGACATAATATAGTCCTTCATATGAGAAGTTAGACATATTCGTTATTATTTATTTTATCAAGTAAATGTGGTTCAGATTATTACTTAGAATTTGCTGTTTAAATTTTAAATTGCTGTTTAGTTTTATGAATATTACTGAGTTATGGTCTACATGTTTTTGTCTTCAATCTCTAACCAATTGAAGAAGACAAGCAAATTGTACTCATTAAGATGTGCTGTGGACAATGCAATTGTAATGTTCTGATTGCAATCATTGAGAGTTTCACTATTTATATTCAATATTTTTGGTCAATCTAGCAGTCATATGGTATGAAAGGACATATATATGGCAATTAGGAATTCCTGTGCTTGTGTAGGTTGACTTGTTTAGATAGAAGTCTTGTTATTCTTTATCAAGTAAAAGTGGATGTATATATTGTTTTTTATTTTATTTTATAGTTTTGCAAATCATGACATGTACACATGTGATCACAGGGGTCCAACATATGGTTATAGGGGGAAAGTGGTTCTTGCATTTGAAGATAATGAGGCCTCTAAGATCGGCGTCAGGTTCGATAAATCAATTCCAGAAGGCAATGATCTTGGTGGTCTCTGCGAGGAAGACCATGGTTTTTTTTGTGCTGGTAGTTTTCTGCTACTGTCCATTTTAAAAAATTTCATCTTTGTGTGTGTTGCCCATCAATTTGGAATAACTAAGTATGTCTTGCTGCTGAAACTTGACCTTTTTTCTTACACAGCTGACTTGCTCCGCGTTGATAGCTCGAGCAGTGATGATATTGATAAACTGGCCATTGATGAACTCTTTGAGGTAATTTTCATGTACATAATAGCTTTCCTTTCTTGGACTAGTATTCAAGTTTCTTTCCTTTAATTTACTCTGTTTTACATATGTAGGTTGCTTCAAAAGAAAGTAAAAGTGGTGCATTAGTTTTACTTGTCAAAGACATTGAGAAGTCTATGGTGGGAAATCCTGAGGCCTATGCTGCTTTCAAGGTTAAACTTGAACATTTACCAGAGAATGTTGTTGTCATAGCTTCCTATACCCAAACAGACAACCGAAAGGAGAAAGTATGTAAGAGCATAGTTGTCTTGCTTTCCGTTGAGATCAAATTCTGACTCGTGAGACTGATAAATTCTTTTATGCTTTCCAGTCACATCCTGGTGGACTGCTGTTTACAAAGTTAGGAAGTAACCAAACAGCGTTGCTTGACCTTGCCTTCCCAGTATGTGAATCCGTTTATCTCTTTTATATGCTCTTTTTTCCTCAATAACTTGTTCTCTAGTTTTCTCCTTCCAATGCAAGGAAGGTCAGGCTTATAGTAATTGAATTTATACTTTACCTTTTAAAGAAAAGGGATCTGCAAGGAGCTTTCTGGCCTTTTTTCTTCTTTCACTTTTTATATTTTCTTTATTCTTTTAGTTTGTCGAGTGGTGATGAATAGCTGGGTTGTAATTGGGGAGGCCTTAAGATGGCATCTATGTACTCTGAAGATGCATTGCTTTGTGTTAAAATGAGTTGCCTCTGATTTGTTATTTTCCTATGCCTAACACCATGTAAATCAAGATTACTTGCTCGAACATTTTTTTACCTACAGTACAAAAACCTGTTTCTCCATCATGGTCTATATGTTCAGGAGTTCAGTTATGGAGTACTCGGTTTCTTATTCTATTGTAAGAAGCTTCAAGGCAATTTATGTAATCACGAATTGCATTTTAGAATCACATAAAGCATCAACAACTATGCCTCAGTCCCAAGCAAGTTGGGATAGGCAATATGAATCCTTGCTGACCATGTTACTCAGTTTAAACTCATCTCATGCTACTGCACTTGTAAAATAACTGATGTCGATGCATTGCAATGTCTTCGGTTTTCCAGGATAATTTTGGTAGGTTGCATGATAGAAGCAAAGAAACCCCTAAAACAATGAAGCAGCTCATCCGTCTTTTCCCCAACAAAGTTACCATACAGCTACCTCAGGTAAATTCTTAGTTCACGCATACGCTTGCCAACTGTAAATATTGTGTGATTGAAGCATTTAGTATGTATCTTAATTGTGGCAGGATGAAGCATTATTATCTGACTGGAAGCAACAGCTAGAACGGGATATTGAAACTTTGAAATCTCAGTCCAACATCGCAAGCATTCGCAATGTGAGAGCTCCTTCTGCCCCAGCTTAAGGAACCTTTGTTTGCCAAGGGCAAAGGCCTTTTTGTCTTCTCCTTTCAATGCTTTTGGGCTGTACAGCATGTAGGACTGTTCACATGGATACCTTCAGTTTTAGAAAAATGAAACATCTCCCTAGCTTAGCCGATTTTCATTCTCTTGCCCTTGTTCTGGATATTACCTAAATCCACCTTCTTATAGGCCTATCTCTTTTCAAAAGACAACAACAACAACAATCGGGGTGTAATCCCATAAGTGGGGTCTGGGGAGGGTAGTGTGTATGCATGTCTTACTCCTACATGTGCTCTTCTCAAAAGAGCGAAGGTTTATTTATTTTAGGATGAATGTTTTCATTTTTTGTATTTATGGGCGATTAGCCTAAAAAGTAGATGAGTATAATGAATTTCTTAACTGTATCCTCAATTTATTGACTGATTGAAGTATCCTAACTTTCAGGTTTTGAGTCGTATAGGAATTGATTGCCCTGACCTCGAAACTTTATGCATAAAAGATCAAGCATTAACAAGTGAGAGTAAGTATTCCTCGAAGTTGGGCTTTTTGTGTTTGAAATTGTTAACATGATTATAATATATTTTCATGTTCTCCTTGTGATTGTGATAGGTGTGGAAAAGATAATAGGCTGGGCCTTGAGCCACCACTTTATGCACAAATCTGAGTCGTCAATAAAAGAGGCCAAGCTGGTTATCTCTGGTGAAAGGTCAAACTAAATTTTACTATCTAATTCATACTGTTGGAAGATTTGCACTATAATGTCATCTTATTTTGCTATTTTGGGCAACTGAAGGGTTCTTTTGGTTTTGGGGGGTTGACAAAAGGAGGCATGGACTGATATGTCTTATATTTGATCTGACAGCATTGGTTATGGACTCAATATTTTGCAAGGCACCCAAAATGAAACCAAGAGTCTGAAAAAATCTCTTAAGGTGAAGTCTCTGTTTTTTGCAAATTCAATTTTGTAAATAGGTTGCCTTTTGTTGTTAACTTCATGAAGCAGAGTATTAATGCTCGAGTTTTCAGGATGTGGCTACTGAGAATGATTTTGAAAAAAGACTACTTGCGGATGTTATTCCGCCTTGCGATATTGGGGTTACTTTTGATGACATTGGGGCCCTGGAAAATGTCAAGGATACTTTGAAAGAGTTGGTGATGCTGCCACTTCAGAGGCCTGAATTGTTCTGTAAAGGACAGCTGACAAAGGTGAAAAGATTTCCTTGACGTTGAAATCCATTTGGATCTATATCTTCGTCGGGATTCTTTATTTTTTTGTTTACATAGGGAGTGGGGTTTGGTGTAATTTTTTCATCATTCACGCACTTCTATTGCTGATGAAGATATCATGTATAGCCTTGCAAGGGAATATTGCTTTTTGGGTCCCCTGGTACCGGTAAAACAATGCTTGCAAAAGCTGTTGCTACGGAGGCTGGTGCGAACTTTATTAATATATCAATGTCAAGCATTACTTCAAAGGTACAACCTATGTCTTGTTTTTGTGTTTACCATTTCGTCTTTTAAAGCCCTTCTTTTAATGGCTTACAACTTTTTCTTGATTGTAGTGGTTTGGTGAAGGAGAGAAGTTTGTCAAAGCAGTCTTCTCATTAGCTAGTAAAATAGCTCCTAGTGTTGTTTTTGTTGATGAGGTTGGTAAAATTTACTTCATATTTCCCTTTCTCTAACTTCTTATATTTATGATAAAGTTAACGTATCTCTGTCACATGTGTGCCTTATACAAAGTGTGTCTCCTCTTTTAAGTTGACAATATACTCTTTAGCTTATATGTTATGTAAATGTATCTGCCATCCTTTTTTTACTGCAAGTTGTCTTTTGCTTTCTTAAAAAGACTATTATGTTTACCCTCTTCGTACCTCCATTCTTCTGGTCTATTAGGTGGATAGCATGCTAGGAAGACGAGAAAATCCTGGCGAGCATGAAGCCATGCGGAAAATGAAGAATGAATTCATGGTGAATTGGGATGGCTTGCGTACAAAGGACAAGGAGCGAGTGCTTGTACTTGCTGCAACCAATAGACCATTCGACCTTGATGAAGCAGTTATTAGGAGGCTTCCACGAAGGTAAATTTAATCAACCAGGGATTTTCTTAGCTAATTAATCGGAAGAGAGAAGACAAAATGGGAAGAACATTCGTTTGTTACTAGTTTATTGGGAATCATTACTAGTTTATTGGGAATCATAACGTTTAGTGCACCTTTGATGCAGGCTGATGGTAAACTTGCCAGATGCTCCGAACAGGGAGAAAATTTTGAGAGTGATATTGGCCGAGGAAGAGTTAGCACCAAATGTTGATCTCAAAGCTATTGCTAATATGACTGAGGGTTATTCTGGGAGTGATTTAAAGGTCTGCTGGGTGATCCTGTATCTTTATATGAATTATTAACTGACTTTCTATGTGTTAGGAGTTTTAACGCCCCAATGACTGGTTTTCCTCCCTTTATTTTTTTTATTCAATGTCACAAGTCATGCTTGTCACCTTCTTATATTTCTGTTCACAGAATTTGTGTGTCACAGCTGCTCATTGCCCAATTAGAGAAATTTTGGAGAAAGAGAAAAAGGTCAGTTGACTGTGTTCACTCAAACTGGTTTCATATGTTTCTGTTTCCATCCAACAGTTGGTTGAATTTGTGATTTTGATTGACATGTAAACATGCTCTTCCTAAAGTTGTGTACTAGCTTTTTTCATTCCCAGATATGTGCTTCTATTTATGTTGGAATCATTATCATCAGCCTGTGTCGTTCATACTGTCATAAGCTAATTAAGTACTTGGGATGTAACTTAACTCGCATTATTTCAGGAAAGAGCATTGGCAGTTGCAGAGAGCAGGCCTGTCCCTTCATTGCATAGTAGTGCGGACATTCGTCCTCTTAACATTGATGATTTTAACTATGCACATGAACAGGTATGTTTTATGGCCTCCTGCACAGTGGTAAAACTTGCTCTTGGAAATTAGACTAAGATCTAAGGGTTTTTATTATAACCTCAACCGTACATATCACTGTTCTTCACTTTCCATGCTCTTCACTTCCATTAAATGCACTTCTACATGGTTTGATGCTATATTTCTGTATCATCTTTGCCTTTCATATTCCTGGAGTGAGCTTTTGTCAATTTGACTTGTACACAAGATTAATGGTTGTGTAAATGTGTATCAATTGGTAGGATCAAAACTGTAATTATTTGGACCTAGTCTGTTTTAAGCTTTTTATCATGGTAGAGGAGCATTGTGCATGTGCATGTTCATGGTAGAGGAGCATTGTGCATGTAAGAAGGAGCTTCATGCCTTATTGCATGTTAAAATGCAGGTTTGTGCTAGTGTATCATCAGAATCGGCAAACATGAATGAACTTCTTCAGTGGAATGAATTATATGGTGAAGGTGGATCAAGGAAGAAGAAATCTCTCAGCTATTTCATGTAGAGACATTTTAACTGTATAGTGTTGCTTTATTTATTTAGTTTTTAAATCTACCCAAGCTGGTTGCAGCGGACCTGCATTCATGGAAATCCATTTCAGGTTCCCGGAGTCTCTCCCCCGTTGGCCAAATGTGGCCAATGTGTATCATAGTTGGTTTTATAGGTATTTATATCAGTAAGTGCAGGTTATGAAATATCTATCTGAAGCTTGTCTTCCAATTTTCCCCTTATTAGATCTCTGTATATACCAATTGATTTATTTAATAAATAATAAACAGTCTCATGTCTTTCGACACTTTTTTTTGGATAAGTTTGTTCCGCTGTAGCATGCAATTGCCGGGCTAACTGAAGGAACAAAGATAACACTTTGGGATGGCAGCGAGAAGTAAAGCGCCCCTGTCGCTCCATTTAGTTTTGCATTGTTGCAGTTAATTCTATTGTCATATTTTACGCCAAATAATTGTTGAAGTAAATACCAGGAAGACAACCACAAAAGAAAATGCTGAAGAAGTGTCAGGTGAGAGGATGCTAATTTCCCCGCTCCCCCTTACATGATGCCAACAAAACAGTTTGGGGGGGAGTGCACCGTTAGCCACTAATAATACATGTATTGACTTTTAAGCCACTGTTTAAAATGTCTTTAGTCTTTAGCCATTGTTTTAATAAATTTTACTTGCCCTGACGAAAACACCCTTCTACTCATAAAAGTTCAGGACCAAGTGTCCTTAACTTTTTAACTTGCAACTCTAAGTTCAGGACTATATGTCCTTAACTTTTGAACTTGAAACTCAAAGTTCAGGATCACCTATCCTTAATTTCTGTGCTTGTAACTCTAAGTTAAGGACTATTTGTCCTTAACTTTTGAGCTTGTAAGTCTAAGTTCAGGACCTATTGTCCTTAACTTTTGAGCTTGTTAATCTAAGTTCAGGACCAAGTGTTCTTAGGTTTTGAGCTTGTAATTGTAAGTTTAGGACCAAGTGTCCTTAACTTTTGAGTTTGTTAGTCTAAGTTGAGGACCTATTGTCCTTAACTTTTGAGCTTCTTAGCCTAAGTTCAAGACCTATTGTCCTTAACTTTTGAGCTTGTTAGTCTAAGTTCAGGACTTCAGGCCCTATTGTCCTTAAATTTTGAACTTGTAACTGTAAGTTCAGGACCTATTGTCCTTAACTTTCATTTTGAAATTTAGGAAACTTCTGGTTCTTAATTAAGATATCTTGTTTACCTTATTTCTTTTTTTAATTGCTACTAATTAAGACTCTACTTTAGAGTCTGTTCTAGACCAAAGAAAACATAAACTACAAATCAAGTAGCAAACCAGATAGAAAAGCTTGAGATTTCTTAAGAGTGCAGTATCTCTCTGTTGAATTGTATAGTCTGTCATTAATCCCCAAGAAAGAGAGAGAGAGGGAACTGGGTTGGCTAGTGAGATGAGCTCACCTGGTCGATCCGAGGAGGAGAAAAGGAACAAAGAGCAAGGATTTTTGACACTGAAGCGAAGATGTGTTGGGCCAAGGCGGGGTCAAGAGATAGAAGAAAGGGTAACATCATCTTTTCATATTAATTTTAATAGACTAATGACTAATTTTGCTCAGCATTAAAAATGCTGGATAAAAAGTAAATACCACTTTAAAAAGTGGCTACCCCACGCAATTTTTACAACAGTTGCAGTAAGCAAATGTGAGCACTGTTTTTCTGGGTAAAGTTATACTTGGGCGAGCGAGATGAAGTCTGAAAGCGCAGTATATTGAACCTGTTTTGACCTCTATTGTCATCGATCCAGAAATTAGCCTTCAGAACATTGTATTTATATATTTTTGTCAAATTTTTTGCACTGTGCATTACCATATTTGTTTTGCTAAAATAAACACTGCTTGTGAATTGATTTACTGTACCTAGTGGTGGCAAAATAGTTAAAAAAAATAGTTAATCATTCATATTATCCACTAAAAAATGGGTTGGGTAATGAGTTTTTTTAAAAACGGGTCAAATATGGATAAGAACTATATTATCCATTTAGAAAATAGATAACTAATGAGTTTAACTTTTATATTTGTAAAGCCTCAAATTGGGGGTTCCTCAAGTCTGAGAGACTAGGAATTCTTCCAAAAGCAAGCCTCGGTTAACTCATCTTTTATCAATATTACATATGGATCGGGTCGATTAATTTATCCGTTTTTTCATTACCCATTTTTGACTCGACCCGACCAGCCTGTTTGCCTCCCCTAACTATACGCAAACAAAAACCTTCATAAACTCTAATTGTCGTTCATGTGCCTATCACTCTTTTCTTATCCTTCATCGTCAAAAGAAGAATTTGAACGTCAAATTCAAGTGTTCTGCTTTTTCATTTGAAATTCTTTGGGTCCTGAGTTGTCTAGAACCAAATAATGTTGACAATAACACCTTATACCACGTTGGCAAGTCCTTCCTCCCCAGATAATTCATATACCCACCGGAGTTGAAAAGTACAAATTATCAATTTATGCATTGACAATTCAGTTTTCAAGGCAAGAAGAGAAAACTTCTAGATTTGTCTAGTTTGTTACAAACGAGCAAGACACTAGATTCCTGAGACGTAATGTTTCCCCTCTCAACTTCAAATAACTTTTTCTATTAATAAATACTATACTATTCAAACCATTATACTTTTGAAAATGTGTTTCTAGATAATTTGTTCTTTGGGCTCATTCGCCAGCCATACGAGTCCATTCACTCCTCGTGGACATCAACTAAAAGGTGCGACAGTACATTCCAATCCAAAATCATGTTGTACCCTTCTTCATATTAAACAACTCTTTTCTAACATATCCAATATCTCCCGTATAATAGCCAGTATTCCAAATTAAGTCCTTAGACCTAATCACTGTCCACGATGAATCCCAAATCACTCTAACCTCCTCCCAAGGCATGTAATCATCATATCACAAAACTCATATGCTACCCTGTCACTCTCCCACTTTTGTCACACTCACTCCTTTAAGCAACTACTCAACTCCTACTTCTCACACTTGGCCTTCTAGAAGTTTAACCACCGCAAGACACCTCTCTCATGTCCTTCCTCATCCTTCGTTGCCCAGTTGTTGCCTTAAGTCAAAATCCATTTTATAGCACCTGAACCAACAGATCGCCACCAGCTCTAAACCTCTCCGAAGATCATCTTCCTTGAGCTCTCAACACCAGGGACACCGATTCAATCTTGAACCACCGCATACCGCGATCTATGACAGCTGCTTCCTCGAAACTAGTTCACAATACCCTGCCTCCAAAGGCAAATTGAAGAAGACCATAACACCAACGAACTTCACACATTCAACAAGGACAACAATGCCATATCACAGATGGAAATTCCTCCACACTTGAAAATACCAAGTCTCGTCACTCCATTAACTTGAAAATTCATAGTCCGATTGCCTTTCCCCCGCCGAAATAAAATATCGAATCTCTGAATCATGCACCGAGTAAACCTCCTTTCAGGTCATTCACTGCCCCGACACATAGACAAGCATCCTACCATCACATCAATACTATGCGATACCAACTCATGAGCATCATAGCAACCTAGGCATAGTCTTAAAGCTATCAGAAGTATAGCTACTAAGCTGAAATGACAAAGTATCCTTCCCCAAGGCGACAACTATAGCCTAAATCAATTACGCAGGGATAAACATCCTGCACAACATCCGTAGTACCATTATGATTCCTCAATTCCCGATCGATAGCAAGCACTTCACGTCGCATAAGATTGAATAGGAATAAATAAAGGCATAAGCCTCAAAAGAATCAAATTGCACGATGAGGAATCAAGAAGGAAAGTGCTCCTAGCAGTCCTGTAGCCTCTCGAAGATAAGCACAGATGTCTCCGTACCGATCCGCAAGACTCTACTAGACTTGCTCATGACTCGTGAGACCCAAGTGAGCATAGTGCTCTGATACCATGTTGTCACTACTTAAAATTCGTTAAAGGTCGTGATGGCGCCGGATACCACTGTCAGGCAAGCCGACACCAAATAGTTAATTAAGTTCTCATTTTAATATATTCGAAATCACAAATTTCTTTCAATTTAACTAGTATAAGGTGAACTTTACAGAACAATAAAAAAATATTTTCCAATTCCAGTACTGACCCATAATCATCCCAGAACCCGGTGTCACAAGTGCATGAACATTTGCTAGAAAATAAAATAAAATACAATAACTGTCCGGAATAAAAATTTGGAGGAAAGATAATACAAGTACTTTGAAGGAGACTCTACTGGCTCATCGTCTCATAAGATGCAGCTCACCTAAGTCCCCGTATCAACCACACCGCTACAACCATAAGGCCACTAAACACACTTGTGCTTGTACAACAAAATGTACAACAAGTGTAGTATGAGTACGAAAACAATGTGTACCCAGTAAGTATCCAGTCTAACCTCAAAGAAGTAGTGACGAGAGGTCGACTCCGATACTTACTACTAGTCCAATAATATGAAAATATGAAATTCTAATAAAGCATGATATACAACAATAAAATTCAGAACAAGAAATAACTGTACAAGTCTTCACCATATTTAAGAACCTAAATCACTTCCTTCCGTTAAAACATATGATCACTCAAATAATGAATTTATACCAATTATAAAAGGGACTTCCAGTTCTATTATCACATACGAATTCCACCAAGGATATTCGGCCCGATCCAATGTAAATGTAAACTATGCACCGCCGAGGGTCGAACGACGCGAACCATAGATGTATTTATTTACCCCGCTCGTGAATCATACATGCGATGCAGTCAATATATAAATTTAAGGGATTACCCCGCTCACGGATCATACGTGCGATGCGGTTACACATAAATTTCTTAAGTTATCATAGTATTTCTCAATTCTTTTCAAACTACGAAGTTCAAATGAAAACTTTTAAGTTCCCATTTTTTCCTCAATTTCTCAAAATATTTAATAAACAAACTCAACCTCGCTCCCTCTCAAGGCAAACAAGAAAACATAAATCAATAACAATATCGACAAGGCATGATGTAAGCCTAAAACTACCGGACATAGGCATAGCTAGTAGCTACGTACAGACTCTCGTCACCTCATGCGTACGTAGCCCCCACAAATAGAAGCACATAATAATTTTGGTTCACCTATGGGGTTAAATCCGTCTACAAGGTTAGAACGGAGACTTACCTCGCTCTGAAGTTCTATAACCGGCTCCAACGCCACTCTAATACCTCAAACCGATGCCCAACGCTCTAAAACTAGCCAAACAATGTGTAAACTAACGAAAATATACTCTAATACTCATAAA